CTTAATTCAGCTTTAAATATTTCTCTTGCATTCCCCTCCACATTCGACGATAATGACGTAATGTGAGAGAAGGCAAACTACTGTCGTCGTTTCAGTGCTTCCGAAATCATTTTGCATGCTTCAGTAAAAAAACATATCTTGTCATGCGTATAGGTTTATATTCACTTCCACTATCTTTTCATCTACTAGTTTACGTTAATCAAGAGGAGAACTGAACAGACATTTTCATTAGGTCTGGAAAACCTCTGCCAAACCAAGAATCTTTGGCCATTCTGTAATCCCACCGTAACCACATGCATGATGTGGCCCTTGTTACCGTAATTTGTGGCCACCTTGCATAAAAATGAATGGGTCGTATATATGTGTTTCATTGTTTCATATCATCAAAACTGTTTATTATATCATAATAATTTCACTATAGGTCTCTCGTATCCAGAAACGCTTGTGATGAAAGGAGGTGTCATTATGGTTGTAATTCAAATTTCTAGTCAGGTGATTTTTTCTTAGTTTCTTCTTAATGCTTCAAACAGTCTTGACACGTAGTTACTTCGCAGAAAAGCCCATTAGTAAAGGCTAAGGAGGCACATTATCGAATGTTACGTCGGTACAGTCGATAACGGATAACCTAGACCGAAAGTAAAATGCCATAGAGTGGGAATCAAAGGCGAAGTCAGAGATCGTATACGGAAAACAAGAAACGAGATGATTATGATGTGACCCTGTCTTTCCCTGATTATGATGTCTCGACAAACTTTCCCTTATTGCAAGCACAAATTGCACATTGCCCCAGGGTGAACTCTCGATCTTGTGGGCAATAGACCGAATTTGTCGCACTGCACCACGGCAATCATACTAATATATAATAGAATGTTGATCAGAATAGCATGTGGGTAGGTTCGCCCGAACCTTACATATCGAAAATGGACCCATTCGTCCGAATTACGAGGCTCTTTTTGTTAGTTGTCAATTCTCAACGACCATACCTTCTTGCACAGGCAATTACTTTTTCAAAAGCTTGTACTGGAACCTATGTGAAATTGTGTTGCAAGAATTCAGTTCAAGATGAAATATGTGCAAATAGGAAAGGCTGTATATCATCTTGGTCAACCAACTCTTTCATGTCGTTCCGTAGAATTTGGTTTCGAAATTTTGCGTGACTACTGTGTTTTATGTCAGAATGGTAGGTTCGCAGATGGTTGTTATACAACAGCGGCCCTGGTGTAATACTCTCCATGGTGTGAGGTGCAGAACACCAGGGTTTTCGAAGTCCTCCGCATGAATGTGAAGCCTGAATCTGCCTTCTACAGAAAAAAATACCACTGTTGTGTCTAATATCGATCCTGCAGTTCTGACTCTTCCCATATCAGCGACCTAAACACGATCCCCTCGTCTCATATTACTCGACACGCTTAACCCTGCGCTCGATAGTGATCGCCAATATCTTGCCCGTAAACTTATATCAACGCGCTGCAGTAGTGGACCAATGAATCCTGATATCAGTGTGCATTCATGCAGCCATCGATGCTCGACGCCACGTCTGCCATGTCTACGAGAAGAGCAAAAATTAGGGCAACAAGAGCATGCCGCTCGCGTTGTTTTTACACTATGGGTTTTCGGTTTGTATTCTATGTGTTTATTTTGATGAGCCAGTGTAAATGTGGCCACAATCGTTGAAGTCCTCGAGAAACAACCCCTTCTTTGCTTCGATGAGCTGTTTGATTGTACTTCTGCAAGATGATTCAGAAGCTGCACGAAAGCTTTGCCGATCATCGCTGCGAAGCTCCAAGGGATATTTGTCAGCATCAATACGCCCGGACGTGCACAATTTCAAAAACCCAGGGGTAAAGTAAGCCAAATATTTGCTCGCTCCAATTGCCATCCAGCGTACTCCCTTGCCAGGTTTTGTTAGCACACATACCCACAATAAGACACTAGTATAAAAATGTCGGGCATCAACCGATGATAACAAATTTAAGGGAAAGCAAACCTTATAAGGGAGGTCGATTCCACAGTGGGTTTCATTTGTCGATCGCTTCCACTGATGCGAACATATCTGCCGTCGGATCATTTCTGAATGAGAAGAGAAAATGGATCAATGCCATTGAGAGAATAGCTTCATCCATTCAGTGATGGTTTCCGTGGAAATCATAATGGCAGATAATGAACTGACGACATCTCGGACCTCTGCTATTCAAGATATTAGAATGAACATAAGTATCATCCTGTTCCCCCTTTAGGTTCCGCATATGCTCATCGCAAACATATGGACTGCTCTTTATTGAGTGTTTAAAACATACACTGGTGTGCAAAACTTAAGGACGAGACAGATGAAGTATCATAACCTTTTAGCTTTGTGGACCGTTTAACGGTTCCTGTTAACTGCTTTCTTTAGTGCCCTGGACAGCTCTTTGTATGTGTGGTTAGGTTCCATAGAGTCATGTTACGCGCCAGTAACACGTCGTTGGAAAAGCTACGTTCGTCCCTAAGTTTTGCACACCAGTGTAGATCAGTCGAGCAGTAACTCTGTCCTTTCCTGCACCATTGTTTTTTGTAACCACTTTGTCTTGAGCGCAATTTTTGCCCACTCTGTATTTGTAGCGAAAAACAACTCGAGGGATAGAGTCACAGACAATAAACTGACCGGAAAAAACTCAGAGAAAATCCTCATGGCGGTCACCGAGACCGTCTGAGGCTTTACCTGGTGTTGTCTTGTCGTCTGCTGACTTCTGGGGTTTGCGAGCCGTTTAGTACTTCAATGACTGGTCACTCAAGAATGTTGCTTCCCGAAGTCAATATGAGGTGCCTATAAAGGTTTCCGTAGGTGTTCGATAAGCACTGGACAAGGCGAGGTCAACCAACATGCCTGACATCTCCTAAGGACTTCCTGTTGTGTGTTCCTTAAAAAGATGAGCCTCAAAACGGAAAGGGTTTCTCATTTTAGGTACTCGCGTATACAAATTCATGTTTAAATCCAATTTTGTATGCACTGATGTCGGAAAACTTCAGGAAAGGTGGAGCGATTTATCAAATTACTGGTTCATACCATTCGAACAACGGATTATGAAAATTCGTTTTTCTTCCACGTTTCTTTCAAGTTTTCTTTCATTTTTTGAATAAAATCTAAATATCAGGTTGTCCAGAAACTGATGCGGGTTTCGATGTGTCATACTTTATTTGACATTTTTCCGAGAATTTTTTTACGATTGCTGTACTGTTGCACATCGTTGAAAAGCCCATTTCATTCTCTTTCTTGAACTGCTATTGTATTTTGAAATAAGTCTGCCCTCTCGATTTTCTAGAGGGGAATCAAGAACGTCAAAGGCGAAGGATGGCGCATCACAGCTTTCTGGACCAAGGTGGACTTGATACAGTATCAAGGTCATCATACCCACCTGATTCACTGGTAACAGCAAGGTCTTTATTCAGGAGAAAGAAAAGAACTGTTGCCATGTTGACGCCCATCCACATGTCGCACAAACGACCTCGCAAGAAATGGACGAATCGGCCTATCCAGCTTTGCTTCACATAGTGCCCTCACATCTCTCTCTCACCAACCTTCCACTTTTTCAGCCATCTCGACAGCTTCTTGGGCAGAAAAAAATTGAAAAACGAGACATTGTGAAAAAGACCTTCGCTGAGTTCCGCGCTTCTACAATCTCTATATTTAGAGTTCGAACTTTTCATTTCATCCCGTGATTCTTAACATGCAGTTATAATAGTGCCCAATATTTTCTGAAGACTACATATGTTAAATATGCTGAGCTGAGATATAGTGCTTTGAAGGCGGAGGTCAAATGCTCGAATCACTTTCTGGACAACCTAAGATGTTAACACCACTCTGGCTAAATCTGTGTGTGTGCAAGCAGACGGTGGAACAACGAGGAGGATGAGAGTCCATCATTGCCTTGGCTATAGCTCAATAGTGCTCACATTCGATTGGCATCCCTTTTGTGTTTCGTTTCCAGCATTTATGAGTACATTTCTCGACGTACCATGTAAAGGCAAAACTTGGGCTCAAACTCACTTGACAAGCCCATACCGTGGCTAGAAGCGCTAGCCGCGCAAATGCAGAGGCCGCAAATGCAGAGGTCACCTTCCTACATTCAAACGCGTCACTAAGACGCAAAGCGAAAAGCACTTTTAGCAGACTCCATCAAACCTAACATGAACCGCCCACCGCAGCGTAGAGCAAGAAGGCTCGCATTTTCTGTGTAAATCACGATTTTCTTTTCTTTTTCCCCCACATATAGTCATGCCTACTTTTTGAGTGAGTGAAATTACCAGATTAATTTAATCTTGATTCTTGCCTTTAACAAAGAACTAGGGTTGCGCGCGATCGTTGAATAAGTATATTGAAGGCGTAGTCTACGATTAGACAGCAGCTCATCAGAATGTAGGTGGTCATTAGTGCCGGGATGAAAGAAAAACCAGGGGAAACGGTCTAGAACCCGAGAAATAGGGCCTTCCCTTTCCCCTATTATTTCCGCTTGGGTGCGACTCTCATCAGTGCAGTGCTCTTCGATGTTAAAGCTCTCCTTAAACGGCTGCGGGAATGGATAGCCAGTCGGTGGGCGTGCTGCGTCGATAGCGCCGCTAAGGGGCCATGCTAGGCGGCTGAGAGCATCCTTCTTCCTGCGAATTGCGTGTAGGTCCGCAGCCTCACTAGGTTTCCTACATGTTATTCCACTTATTAAAAGTTTAAGTAAAATGTTGGAGAGAACCTCGACTCCAACAACTCCTACAATTCTTGGTGAAATTCTATTTTGCTTCGCGAAGAAATTCATTTTTCAGGATTCATAAGGGTCATATGTACTATGGGAAGGAAATTAACTATGGGTGCATACTGCATACAGGATGATAAGGTAAGAAACCCTTCTGTAGAATACATACAAATCTTCACTTGTGCCACCTGGCGAACGCGGTACATAATTTAATGCTTTTAATGTTGATCATACTGAAGGGAATCATTTTGTTTGATTTTCTCCAACAATTCTTTTTTAGTTCAGATTGCGTACATATAAAGGTTGGCGGAAATACACTGCGTCCCATAATTATACGTCCACCTAAAAATTCACAAATATAGATGTTTCGAAAAAGTCTCCAATGTGACAATGTATCATATATAAATACGGAATTGCCTATGAACATCAATTTTCTATTTGAGATCACAGGAATTTTTTCCAATAATTTTTGTGTAAAAGGCCACTCAGCCGACGTCCCAAAATTATACGTCCACCTCACGTTTATCGATTACTTTTCACTTCTGTTCCACGAAACTTTTTCATTGTGGTAACACTTCACTTCTTAAGGGGACTGCATAATAAAAACTGCTGTTGGATTTTGAAGAAGGTTAGGTTGTCGCAAAAATTGTGGAACAACGCATTCACGTAGATTTGGACCAAATTCACGCCAAGCTAAAGAACTTCTTCAGGGTTTTACATGATATGGAGTTCAGAAGAGCTTTAAAGGTCTCTCATTACTTTTCGATGGAAACCAAAGGCCGTGTCACAAAGAAACATCCACTTTCATCCAACGGTGCTCTGTCATCGAATCTTCTTGAGAACTTTATGCCTCAACCAGACTTTTGTTTCATGCATGTAAAGGAATCCCAAGATCATTCTTGATTAGTAAATGTGAAAGGCATTCATTTGTGGCAAGGAATCGTGGCGAAAACTGGGCTGATTTTTGCATGAAGGTGCAGCCGAGCCGACCGAGGCAAGGTTCGTTTTTGCTTGCCATGCATGAGTGTTTTCTTGTCTCTTTTTCACCATTTTCTTTCTTCTAGTAGTGCTTCACTGAGAAAAAAGCCACTGTGGGAAAGGTAAACGTGAGAACAAAAACAAACAAATGCTAAAACATATCGAGCAGAAGGGAACCTGACTTCAGTCGGCTCGGCTGCACCTTCATGCAAAAATCAGCCCAGTTTTCGCCACGATTCCTTGCCACAAATGAATGCCTTTTCACATTTACTAATCAAGAATGATCTTGGGATTCCTTCACACGCGTGAAACAAAAGTTGGTTGAGGCATTAAGTTCTGAAGAAGATTCGATGACAGAGCACCGTTGGATGAAAGTGGATGTTTCTTTTGTGACACGGCCTTGGTTTCGTTCGAAAAGTAATGAGAGACCCTTAAAGCTCTTCTGAACTCCATATCATGTAAAACCCCTGAAGAAGTTCTTTAGCTTGGCGTGAATTTGGTCCAAATCTGGCGTGAATGCGTTGTTCCACAATTTTTGCGACAACCTAACCTTCTTCAAAATCCAACAGCCGTTTTTATTATGCAGTCCCCTTAAGAAGTGAAGTGTTACTACAATGAAAAAGTTTCGTGGAACAAAAGTGAAAAGTAGTCGATAAACGTGAGGTGGACGTATAATTTTGGGACGTCGGCAGAGTGGCCTTTTAGACAAAAATTATTGGGAAAAATCCTAGGATCTTAAATAGGAAATTGATGTTCATAAGCAATTCCGCATTTATATATGACACATTGTCACATTGAAGACATTTTTCGAAACATCAATATTTGTGAGATTTTGGGAAATTTTTAGGTGGACGTATAATTATGGGACGCAGTGTATGTTCAAACAGTGTAAATAGTTATTCTTGAAAGAGTTGAGAAAACAATGATTTCTGAGATCGAACGATGCCAAAGGAGTGTGGAGCTCCAAGCAATATTGCCACAATCTCAAATTTTATGAGGACATAGTACTCAATAAATTCAAGAGCGTTTGTGCGTGTGTACTGTAACTTTAACGATTCACGAGGAAACTACCATATCTTGTTGATGCACAACCTACATATATATTCCTAGACAATATCCATAGAAATGAATGATAGGATGGTAGTTCAACTTGTTTACTTCAGGATATACGTAAGATAAGTATCTCGGGAAGATACCACTGGTATGACCTGGCGGTATCTCCATCATATCGCAATCAAGTATGGAATCTACAGGGGGGGCAATAAAAAAAAGACATTTTGTCTCCACTTTCAGATGGATTTAAGCACACTTTGCTCAATTGAGACCGAGTGTTCCCAACTTAATATTGAAGAGCACATTTCATTCTATAAGAAAATCTTCATGTTGGCCACCCACGTGGACGGCATCAGAAGAATTTGCCCTGGAAACATGGTGCACTGGTCGAGCTCAATGGGGTCTTCGAAGGATCGTGTACCATAACGACCCTTACTGGAAAGCTAGTTCCGAGGGGATTTGCACAGTGGTAGCTAATGCCTCTAGAAAACTATCCAACATTAAATCGATTCACGAAATTGCGTAAGAGCTTCAGGCTGAAGCTCTTACGGTAGACCTCCTTGAGCCTGACGACGGTGACAGATGACGTCATATTCTGAAGACGGTGAGGGCAGTGAAGGAGGGCCTGCGTTCACTTATAGAGGGACACTTAGGGAATACTCTGCTGAGGAACTCCCGTCAACGACAGCAATCTCTGCGAAGAAAAAAGAGCCGAAGTCCGACATAGGCAAAATGTCTTTTTTTTTTTGCCCCCCCCCCCTGTATATGGGTCTTGCCCCTACGGTCCAGTGGCGCTACGGTATCCGAGGACCGCCCACATTGTTCCGTATATAAACATCCCCATTGAATGTACAGTTATTGTCGATTCTTACACTAAGCACGTCGTAATAAATATTACACGTCACTGGTTAAGTCTTCCATTGGCTCACTAGCCAAATTGGTGCATCGGCCTTGGGTTCAAACCCACAAATCTCTACACTCTTTTGCGCTAGCTCTCTCTGGAGAGACAAAAGAGTCCAGTTCTTCATCACGAGTCCTCCCAGGAGGAACCTGAAGAGTGGAAAACTGCAACTTCTTCACGCGTACTCGAGAAGCTAGATGGTGTAAGTTTCACGCTTCCGTACTCTAGGAAACAGAAAACTTTTCTACTTCAAGAAATTCAAGTCTTCAAAACGAAGATCTTGAATGCTTGTACTCCGATCATATCTAATGAGGCTGAAATCATAAAGTTCCACCAGAGGTTCGCAAAACCCTCCACTAACTGAGGAATGTAAGGCGTATTACAGCAGGGAAAGAGCTGCCATGTTGTTCTTCCTTGCAAAAAGTATCAAGTCGGCGGAGCAGTTCCATGACGCCTGCGCCAAAGAAGCCATCTGGGACAGCAAATGGACGGCAAGCATCAAGAACGAGAAAAGCTTCGTGTTAGATTAAACAAAGCTTCTGAAAACTTAGTCGAACATCCTGGAAATTTCAGCAATACAATGGCTGAACAAAATAGACTTCAGAAAAAAGAACTACTGCAACAAACCTGCATTAATAACCTCATCCTCAGCCCAACCATTCTCTGGCCAACAGCCATAGAAGCTGTCAGGAATGGTCAAATGACTCGCCGCACGAACGCAACGTTTGGGTCAGGTGCCCATTACTGGGAGTTCCTGATATTTGGAGGAAACTATATGGATTTGAATACGTTTCGGTTCATCTCCGAATCACTGATACACAATGAATCCGATTTGAGCGACCAGGAGAAATTCTTATTCTCGAAGCAAGGGAGAAGCAGTCGGTTCGATTAGCAATATGGCGGTAATGGCAAAAAGCATTCCGTTGCTGTCAATGAAATGAAGAAAGATTACGACAGATCGTCAAGCATTGCAGATATTCTGATTAATGGAATAGAACGTTTGCCGCGAGCTCAAGGAAATCCTGAGGAGTTGCCGTGAAACTCTCGCTGCAATTTCTTCTCGCATCACACACCTGGAGCAAACGGGACTACAAATGAATGCAGATCGAATGTGGAGACGCCTTATCCTGTCCAAAATTTACGGCATTGATCTGAGCTACTATGATTGGAAAGGGAAACGACACCGGAAATCCCTTCAATGTGAACGAAATTGTTGGAACAGTTGATGAAATAATCACACTGGAGACAACAGAAGTCACAACAAGGACATTTCTCGGATGATCAAGCCGAAGAAGACCAAATTAGCGAGGCCACCAGAAAGAGTTCTAACATGAGACCAGCATTGTTCAAAGAACGGAGCCATCATCTCTCTGTGGGGGAACGCATCCTCCACAGCAGTGCTACAGGTTCGCATCGCCAGAGAAACTTCGGACAGATCAAAATCAAATCACAACCAAGATATGCAACTCGTCCCGGGAACACAACTACTGGCTCGAACCAGCCGAAATATGTACAATCAGTGAGTGCTACAAACGGCTTCCTTGAGGAGCTGCTTGAAGAATAACAATTTCTCCTAGTTCCTCAAATCGCATTCACTGTGTATTAACGATCAGAAGATGGACTGAAACGTACTCTCCATATAGTTCCCTCCAAACGTAGGCACTTCCAGTAGTGAGCGTTTGACCCGAGCGTTGCGTTAGTGCGGCGGGTCACTTGATCATTCCTGACAGCTGCTTTAGCTGTTAGCCAGAGAATGGTTGGGCTAAGATGAAGTTTTCAATTAGGCCTGATGCAGGAGTTCCTTTTTTCTCGAATAAATTTTATTCAGCATTGTATTGCTGAAATTTCCAGGATGTTCGACTCAGCCTCCGGAAGCTCGTTTCGATCTAAAGTAAACTTTTCTCATTCTCGATGCTCTTGGCGTCCATTTGCTGTCCCGATGGCTTCTTTGGCGCAGGCGTCATGGAATTGAACCGCTGACTTGATACTTTTGCAAGGTGGATTAACATGGCAGATTTTCCCTGCTCTACGCTATACATTCTTCAGTTGGTTTAGGGAATGCGAACCCCTGGTAGAACTTGATTTCAGATTCATTAGATATGATCAGAGTACAAAGTAGATATTATCAGAGTACAAGCATTCGAAATCATTGTTTTGAAGGCTCGAACTTCAGCCATCTTTGGAGCTAATGCGTTCAATTCAATTTGACCAATTTATAAGAGCTTTGTTAGCTCCACAGTAAATCTGATCCTGCTACGAGGGTCTTTGTGGCTGCCGAACTCTGATTTGATTTCTAGGCGTCAGAAATCAATGAGTTTGTCGTCCTGATTTCTTCAAAGGGAACGCGCAAGAAGGGAGTAGGATTACGTGTTCCAATTCCTTCGGAGAGGACTCGCGTAGAAGAGATTTCTGTTTGATAGAGTACGGAAGCGTAAAACCTACACCATCTAGCTTCTCGAGAACGCGTGAAGAAGCTGCAATTTCCACTCTTCCGGTTCCCCAGGGGAGGAGTCGTAATGAAGAAGACTTATCCAGTGACGTGTAACGACGTGCTAGTGTAAGAATCGACAATAATAATGCATTCAATGGGGTTTATATACAGAAAATGTGGGCGGTCCTCAGATACCGTGTCGCCGCTGGACCGTGGGGGGCCAGTGGCGGTACTCAAGCTCAGGAGATGAAATAGTTGGGTCAAATTTCACCCGATTGAATTTGGTTAGAATGTTGAGATTAATTACAAGGGTAGTTTGACTACCCCGTAACAAATATCGCAAAATACCGATTAATCGCTTCTAGTCATCTTTCACAAAAAAGCAAGACTGCAAAAGTGGCTACAAATAACAGCCCTGTTGAGAAATTGTATAATTCTCTAATGGAATTTGAAGGTGAAAGGACGTAGGATCATCGAGTTTGCAGTCTTGCTTTTTTGTGAAAGATGACTAGAAGCGATTAATCGGTATTTTGCGATATTTGTTACGGGGTAGTCAAACTACCCTTGTAAATAATCTCAACATTCTAACCAAATTCAATCGGGTGAAATTTGACCCAACTATTTCATCTCCTGAGCTTGAGTATCGTATGTGCTTCTTGTATGTAAACCCCATTGAATGTGCAGTTATTGTCGATTCTTACACTAGCACGTCGTTACACGTCACTGGATAAGTCTTCTTCATTACGACTCCTCCCTGCAAGGGACGGAAGAGTGAAAATTGCAGCTTCTTCACGCGTTCTCGAGAAGCTAGTGGTGTAGGGTTTTACGCTTCCGTACTCTATCAAACAGAAATCTCTTCTACGCGAGTCCTCTCCGAAGGAATTGGAACAAGTAATCCTACTCCCTTCTTGCGCGTTCCCTTTGAAGAAATCAGGACGACAAACTCATTGATTTCTGACGCCTAGAAATCAAATCAGAGTTCGG